CAAGAGGTAGTTGATTAATTTCCTTTCTTTAATTACCATGTACTAAAAAGGATAGCCACAACAAACAAACCCTCAAGATCTACAGTTTATCATCCCTAGATCAATTTAGCAAACTAATAAAAAATAAAATAAAAAGTGTTTTAAGAAGTCATGTACCTCCATGAAACCTGCCCCGTAAAGCTTTCCTCTGAAGTAGCTGCCAACTTTCGTCCTCACTTAAAAAGCGCGGTTGGTGGTGAAAACCACTGGGATCAATATGCAAAGCCACGTCTTTATTGCGAGAGGTAACTAAGATCTTGCTTCCGTCGTTTCTAATTGGAAATGCTTGCTTTATACATTCCCATGGTTCTGTGGCCCAAATGTCATCAAGAACCACAAGACATTTCTTGTTTTGCAGGATTTGAAAAAGTTGCCTGACTAGCTCCTCATCCCTCCACTCCAGTATCTCTTTTCTCTTTTCTGGGATTAGGCTTAGCAAGATCCTTTGCAAAATGTCTTCCTTTTGCCACTTTTGCGAGACACATACCCAAGCAAGACCATCAAAGCAGCGCCTCAGTTCAGGGTGATTGTATACCTTTCTGGCAAGAGTTGTCTTTCCCAAGCCACCCATCCCACAGATGGAGACAACTCTAAAGTGTTGATCGATCGCATGATCATGATCGCTTCCCCTCAACAGATGCTTTACCAGCATCTCAACATCATCCTCCAATCCAACAAAGTCATCCTCGACAACATGGGAATATGTCCGCCTCAATTGTTGATGCGATGAACTACTTGCGCCGTCCTGTCTTTCCATCACAGCTGCGATCCCATATTCCTGAAAACTTTTGGTAAGATCAGAGATTTTGGTTTTCAGAGTCTGAATACCCGTTTTTGTGGTGTGCCTAGCATAGCACTCATTCAGGATACCAACACATCTCTTTGTGATGCCTCTAATGCCTTTCCTCCTTCGTGACGCGACTTTGAAAGCATATCTTTCAATCAAGTCATCGGCCTCATAAGCTAGATCTCTTGCTTGTGAAATCCACACCTTGACCCTTTCCTCCTCATGTTGCCTTGCATCTGCATCTTTTAAGAACGACTGCATCCGCTTTAGCTCTAGCTGAAGTTGCTCCACCTGGTCACTCACCCCTTGTAAGAACTTCGTTTCTTCAATCAACAGGTTGCCAATTGTTTCCGCAGCAAAACTGACAGCCGCCACAGCCATCTTGGCTAAACAACAAGATACGAGATTTTTTCTTTCTTCGTCTTCAGAAACTGCATAAAAGAGAAGGATAGAAGGGAGGGAACGAGTGTTAGGTAGGTAATCTGACCAGTCTAACTAACCGTGTTATCGAGAACTCAGGGCCGACTTGGAGTCAACCGGGCTAATCTCTCAGAATATACCAAAAAAAAAATTCCGTCAAATGTATGCGTGACAGAGGGTGGTACAAAATTATACTCCTCCGTTCAACTTTAATAATACTGTTACTTTTTCACATAATTTAAGAAAAAATAGTTACTTTTATTGAAACAATCAATTTAGGTAACTATTTTTTTTAAAATATTTTCACATTAATTAAAATATAATTTTATGAAAACTTTAATTGATGATAAAAAAAAATTAATTCTCATTAAATGGGGTAGGTTTATAATAACAATAACTTATATTCAATAAAGATATTTTAAAAAAATTAAAATACAACTACATTCTTCAATTGGAAACTGGGCTGTAATTTGGGACGGATGAAAAAGAAAAACAGGACTATCAAAGTAGGACGGAGGGAGTATCTGTCGTGTCCAATCAGCACAGAAAAAAAAAGTTTGACGGACGGATGATACAAAATTATTCTTGCCGTGCCCAATTAGCACAGTAAAAATCTTTTTTTTAATCGCTGCAGCCTGCAGCGCATGGATTTTTTTTTTTTTTAGTCTGCCGCGACCGTGCTGACTGTGCACGGTAGCGAGTGACAATTATAAAAATGAACAGTCGCTACCGGTAGTGGTTGACCTTGACGGAAAGCAGTTTCAAGGAGATAGCCAATGAAAATGCGAGTGACAATTATAAAATGGTCAGTCGCTACCGGTAGCGGTTGACTTTGACCGAAAGCAATTTCAAAGAGATAGCTAATGCAAATGCGAGTGCCTAAGCCAAATGTAGACGTTCATATTTCTTTTGACAACAGGAATTTCTTTTCTTCTTCTCCATGAAAAATATTAGATTTATTAATTTATTGATATAATGTTCTCCATGACAACAGGGTTCTATTTTTTATTTTTTTTCCTGGCCATCCCTTAAATTAATAAAATGGGCCAATTTGATATTAAGCAGTTTGTAACAAGCCTGAAAATGTAATACAAAAAGCACAAGGTAGAATGTTACCAGGATCACAATCCCCAGACGTAAATTTATGTTCTTGAATAGATAGATGGGCTCATCTCATGTTCGAATGGAACCCGAAAAGCTGTCGTGGCTGCTTCTTTGATAACATATAATTTAAGATGAATCTAAAAAAAAAATTAAGATGAATCTCCATTTATTTTCGCAAAAACAAAGAACCTGTAAATTTTTTTTTCTGATATTTGTTACTGGAGACAAATGAGATAAGCCAAATTGATGGAAAAGCAGGACACCAAGTTACGTCTTATGCTGTTAAATGACAGTTTCAAGTTCCATCCATTTCTGAAAGGCCTTTAAGAAGATGGAATCATCCAACCCTCTAAAGGCATTTAAGCAGAATTTCTAATCAATTCAGCCAACTGAGAATTAATTGATCTTCAAAAGATAATGAAAACAACATGCTTACCAAAACAAACACTCACGCAGAAAGGCAAACTGGGTTCGTAACTTGAAGAAGCACTCAAGAAACCTGGGGATAATTTCTTTTCAAGTTTAAATATATATATATATATATTTCGCTACGTAAAATATTTAATCGCCATATATAGGCCATCATGATCGTAGTATTGCTTGCACAATTTCAGAATTGTTCTCCAGTCGCTTGTTTGTGAAGACGTTGAAATGCATGCTATCTTTAGTTTCTTGAATTATTAAAACCGATCCAATTATATCTTTAATTTCTTGAATTATTTGAGTTCCGAGAATGTTCATAACCTGTGCTACTTTTGCACAAAATTCCTTCACTAAGGGCTGCAATTGTTCTGTTGCTTTTATGATTGTTAATGCAAGGCCAGATGCCTTCTATGATAGCAACAAGAGATCTTCAGGGTTGGTTGTATTTTCATCGAAAAGGGCATTTACTGATAACTCGGATGATTTACATGATCATCGCTTGCCTTGCGTATTTTTCAATGATTCACTCTGATAGGCCTTATATAGTATTCTAGTATTTATTGCCTTTGGCTTTAATTATTTTGGTGACTACATTGTCTAAGTTAAAAAGGGTCGAATCTTTTCTTCCCCAAAAAGACAAGTCTATGTTTGATAGAAAATAAATTGTGTTTGGATTGCATTTTCCGTCATTTTTCATGGAAAAATTACTGTAGCGATTTGATATATGTGAGAAAAAAATATGATAGGAAAATGTGATCACGGAAAATGACAATATTTTCCGACGGAAACAAGCAATCCAAGCATGGCCGCCAATACTTTTGTTGGTTTATTGATCACAAAGTTTTTTTTTTTATTTTTATGGAGAAGACAATCCTATGCGTTTTTTTATTTTTTATTTTTTATGGAGAAGACAATCCTATGCAATTTAAAAAGGAAGTGTAGACAAAGGAATGGACATTTTAAAATTTAAAGGGGTCAAGTGGTTAAGGAATGAAGTTTACAAAATTGAGGGGACAGGGGGCGAATAAGACACAAAATTGAAAATATCCTTTAATATCAAGCCTATTGTGCAATTTTTCAAAACTTTAGGGGCAATTGCCTACCGTCCCTCATGTGTGCATACCTCAGTCTATATTCAAAGTGCTGACAATACGATTAACATCGGTTTTGAAATTTAATCTGTATTTACACAATTTATGATTTAAAAAAAAAAAAAAGCTGCCATCAGTTTACCCAAATCATTTCGAGTCCACAAAATAAAAAAAAAGGCACGCGGTTTTATGCATGAATTCAATTATTCAAGGTGTTTGCAACCTAGACTTTGATTGAAGGGGTTAACATTTCCTGACGCCTATGTGGTAATTTTTGTTCCTTCCGTTCCGTTGTTATATGCTTTCTTGGGAATTGGAGGTGGTGTTTCTGATTATGCAATACTAGCTTTTTTTGAATTTGGAAAAAAGGAAAAATGCTCCCAAAAAAATACTTTTTTTTTAAAAAAAAAAAATTTCTCTCACGCCCCTCTCCACAATCTTCCTCCCAAGAGCTAGAAACAGGATTCAAACCTTGAATCTGACAGCGACGAAAACTCTAAGAGCTCTCTCCTTATACATGCGATATTAGATTGACTAAAATTTTAAAGTCTCATTAGTTATATATATATAGATTTAAAAAAAATTATGTTATATATCATGGTTGTTTTGTATATATAACATTATACTTACTCAAATTTTAAATTTTACCAATAATTGAAATATTATTCATGAAGTATAATAGCAAAAAGGTTATTACGTGTTTTATATGGTTAGTTAAAAAGTACGAATATGTTTCAGGGATTAACTTTTTATACATTGATAGTGTAGTGATTTTTTTATATTAAAAACTTCGGATATATACCATGCGTGCATAATTTAGATATCAAATTTGAATTCTTGTTATGCGACAAATGTATATCAGAGTATTTTATATGAAATACAAAAAAAAATTAAATTATGCATAGGAACGTGTATTATTCGTGTGTAATACCAATTTGTTACGAATTGTGCTATCTAAGGCATCCACGTGATGGATTGATCAATGCAAGACAATAAAGATTTTTTACATAAAAAGGTATCAATTTTGAAGCCGATGTTGTAGAAACAAAATGTGAAAAAAATTCTGTAATTAAAAATACAACAATAATGTGTATTGAATTACAGTACAACTCTTATTAGACAAATTACATGCAAACTATAAGCTGAGTGAAAATCATAGTTATGAGACACATAATTAATACAAGTCCAAGTACAGTAACTGGAGACTCGACTTTTGACGGGAAAAAAAAAAAAATTGATCGTACACCAAGACACATAATTAATACAAGTCCAACTTGGCTCGACTTTATCGTACTAAAATGGCAAATGTTTGATAGTATCACATTCCAGCAGTGAATAAATCCTGCTCGTCAAATTGATCCTAACTGCACAAGTGAAATCAATTAGGATCAGTTTTAAGTACTATATAGGGCTTAATGAGTCAAATAAATGTTCCTAAAATCGAGATGCTAAACAAAAAGAAATTAATCAGAGGTACTTGATATGCAACTTGTGACTTTGTAAGCATGGTGTGGTTGAATATAAGTACGTTGAAGAAGAGTAAAGTAAGTCATCATCGGTTGAACGATAAATTGAAGTAAAATTCAAGAAAGAAACTATAATTGTTTAAGGATAAATTAAAGTAAAATTCCAGAATGAAACTAGAAATGTTGACAAGAGAGACATACCTGATCAACCATGCTCAGTTACAATGAAACATTACGGACACTAATGGTGGGTATATGGGAGACTTTGTCAAAATCTTCATGACCATTTGCTGCTTGGATCCTATCTGTGAATTCCTTTGGCATCCGCACAAAGTTCAACTCTTTCAGAGTTTTAACGTATCTCAATCCATTCGGAACCATCTCCAGCTTTGTGCACTCTTCAATCGTCAAGACCGAAAGGTTGGGCATGGCTCCTTCATCAACATTCCACTTCTCTAAGTTCTGTAGATCTTCAAAACGAAGGAATCTAAGTTGGCCAAAACCCATTGCCTTGCACCTCATTTCTTTGCCGAGAAAAGATCTATATTTCAAGTGAAGTGACCGTAGATTAGGAAGCCTTTCCAATGTCTCCATGGGATCTTCCTCTATCTCGAGTCTGGTTAGTTCTAATTTAAGAAGGCTTGCACACATATACTGGGCTTCGTACTCGGGAAAATTGTCCATGGGACAACTTACCTCTAAGCCTTGAAGATTGCGACGAGAGAAACACTGACCAACAACATCCGACACTTTCTTCTTGATTGAGGCGGCAGTGGCTGCTGAATCTTTGTAAGAGTAAATACATAGGGATGTGCAACCCACGTGGTCTGAGTTTGACATTAATCTTTGGATTTCTGTGGGAAAGCCCTCATCATAGTCATCTAACACCACCTCGGCTGATAGTACTCGAAGGTTCCTCAACGTGGATATGTCTTGAGATGAGCAAATCGGGGGACAGAAGTTTTCTAGGATCTCAAGCTTGTCCAATCCCTTGAGTCGCAATTTCCTGCAGAACAAGTTCAACTTAAACTTGCCCAGAAATCCCATAAGTTGGCTGTGGCCCTCCGGAAGATATAAGTGCCTAAGCTGTCTCATCTTCCACAGCACATTGGGTATTCTAAATACAACGGCATCTCGTAAATCAAGCGTCTGCAAGTTTTGTAGGTTGCCCAAGGACGATGGCAAACAGAGGAAAACTGAACGTCTCAAACTCAAGTATCGCAGGTGGATTAGCTCCCCAATAGCTGTTGGGAGCCTCAAGTGATCTGCTACTAGGAGAAATACAGTTTTAAGTATGTGATCTTCCGAGTTCGCAGGAAAGAGCCCTTCAATGGCCAACACTCTGAGCATTTTGAACCGATTGAATTGAGACTTCATTTTCTTAGGAAGATGCCCTTCATAGTCTTCATTACCTGAGATCAACAACGCGAGTGACCTCAGGTGCCTCGTATTTCTCTTCTCAGCTGGAGGGACATATTTCCTAACATCCTCCTTAGAAAAATGGACGGCTAGACGGTAAACTTGTGAGTGATCATTATTGCCATGCTCATTGAGAATTCCATCATGATAATAGCTTATGGATAACAAGAAATTCTCCTCTTTGGCCTTGACCAAACTTAGGTCTCTCATTAAGTCATGAAGGCGACACGATGCAAATGATCTTCCAATGGAGGACAGCATCACATCATCATCATCATCAGGGGCTTTACCTTGAACCATGCACCGTGTTACTAATTCTCCCAGGTATCTTTCTGCTACATCCATCATTGATTCTTCGCCAATCTGATCTTTTGTTGATATTATACCTTCTGCAATCCATAACTGGTACAATGCCTCTGTTTCTATGTCAGAGTCTTCTTCATATCTGCTCAAGTAAAGGAAGCAAGGCTTCAATTTGTAGGGCAAGTCATTGTAGCTTAAGGCTAATATCTTGTGCAGATTTCCTTCTTCGTTGATCAAGTTGTTTCCTCTTCCAAGATGAGCTTTAATGTTTCTATTGACAGTCGCCCACTCATTCAGGTCCTTCTTGGTGGCAAGAGTTCCGCTGAGTACTATCACAGCCAATGGAAGACCCCCACATGCTTTCACCATTTCCTTCCCTAAGTTTTCCAATTTTTTTAAATCTTCATGCTCTGTCAAAGAGAGATGATGAGTAGTTCTGTTAGTCTTATTACTTAATAGACAGAAGTGTCGAGTTGCTCAATGTATGCGCAGTACATTGAATTAACAATTTAACATTTCTGGTTAGCATCATGAATATATGTGTGCGCGCATGCGCGTGTATATATATATATATATATATATATATATATATAAGAAACTCTGAGAAAAATTGAATATTCCATTGAGAAACAAAAAATAAGAAACTTCGAGAAAAATTTAGCCAATTCCATTGAGGAAGGATCATCTGTTGTTGTTTTTGTTCAGTCAATAAAATTTGGAGCAGAAGACACGTAAAGGGATGTTATACTTTCGGGTGAAACAGAGGATTTGCCTGTGTTTCGGGAATTTATCTCTGCGTGTACGTTGTGTGGTTAAATCAATAAAAGTTGTGAGCTTAACAAAAAAGGGGCAAAAAGAAAAAAAGAGTACAGCCCCAAAAGAGGGGAAAATACTCCCACACTTTCTAGTCCAATTAATTTATATAACTGCCCGTCAAGCACTCACAAAAAGGCGTGGTCCACTTTGCGAGACCCGGTCTATACACCGCTGTTCATAAAAAACCAAAAAAAAAATTTTACTTTATACTCTAATAATTCTTGTTTGACTCATGTGCAATCTTCTTTTTGGGAGAAATCAGTAAAATACTCGTCTTTCCTTCTCTGGCCTCTTTTCATTTTTTTTTTTAATGATTTTTTTCTTGAATTACGCGGTGTACCAATAAGGATAGCCACAACAAACAAACCCTCAAAATCCACCAGTTTATCATCCCTTGATCAAGTAGGGCCCAATTTAGCAAACTAATAAAAAAAAATAAATAGTGTTTTAAGAAATCATGTACCTCCATGAAACCTGCCCCGTAAAGCTTTCCTCTGAAGCAGCTGCCAACTTTCGGAGTCACTTGAAAAGCGCGGTTGGTGGTGAAAACCACTGGGATCAATATGCAAAGCCACATCTTTATTGCGAGAGGTAACCAAGATCTTGCTTCCGTCGTTTCTAATTGGAAATGCTTGCTTTATACATTCCCATGGTTCTGTGGCCCAAATGTCGTCAAGAACCACAAGACATTTCTTATTTTGCTGGATTTGAAAAAGTTGCCTGACGAGCTCCTCATCCCTCCACTTCACTATTTCTTCTCTCTTTTCTGGGATTAGGCTTAGCAAGATCCGTTGCAATATGTCTTCCTTTTGCCAAGTTTGTGATACATATACCCAAGCAATGCCATCAAAGCAGCGCCTCACTTTAGGGTGATTGTATACCTTTTGGGCAAGAGTTGTCTTTCCCAACCCCCCCATCCCACAGATGGAGACAACTCTAAAGCGTTGATCAATCACATGATCATGATCGCTTCCCCTCAACAGATGCTTTACCAGCATCTCAACTAATACTTATTGAATTGTTGTGGTTCAATTTTACAATAATGCTGTTATATTTAGCATTGTCCTTAAGTGTGTTTTTTGACCATTTTTCCACGGTTTGCCTTTGTCAACTGGATTTTCTTTCGTCTTTCTCACCAAACGGTTTTGCATCTTTAATGGTCCTTTTCACCTTATTATTATTGCTCCGTCGACGTTCATATTTCTTTTGACAACACCGGGGATTTCTTTTCTTCCTCTCCATGATAAATATTAGATTTATTAATTTATAGACTATAATGTTCTCCAGGACAACAGGGTTCTAATTTGTTTCTCCTGGCCATCCCTTAAATTAATAAAATGGGCCAATTTGATATTAAACAGTTTGTAACAAGCCTGAATATGTAATACAAAAAGTAGAAGGTAGAATGCCTTTGGCTGCTCAAGGCTTTGAGCGTTGTAGGCAAAACAGGTCGAGGATGAGGGCATCTGGGCAGCAGTTCATCGAAGCAATACTTGACCTGACGATTGGCAAAGCTTCACGGACGGACATGCATAGCTGCGTGAAAGCAGCAGTTGCTGGAGTAATTTTGGCGGAGATATCTACTGGGGGCAAAGCTGTAACACGGACGTAAATTTATATTCTTGAATAGATAGATGGGCTCATCCAAACGCGATTATCAATGATAGGCTCATCTCATGTTCGAATTGAACCCGAAAAGCTGTCGTGGCTGCTTCTTTGGTAACATACTTTAAGAGAATGTTCATAATCTGTGCTATACTTTTCACAAAATTCCTTCAGTAAGGGGAGGCTACAATTGTTCTGCATTATATGTATTCTATCTGACCTGTTGCTTTTATGTTTGTTAATGCGGGGCCAGCCAGATGCCTTCTATGATAGCAACAAAAAGGATTGGACCCAACCCCATCGCCCATATGGTGAAGAATATTGCAGAACAATTCAGATTGGCACAAAGTCTAGAAATGTTGCTGTCAAGATTTGGAACGAGGACTCGGATGACTTACAAGTGATTTTATTTTCTGTGTTTTATAGGAAGAAGCAAGGTTCCTGAAGGATGAAACTTTGTGAATGTGATCGGTACATGTTGTGAAGAAAATGCAAAGGGCACTCACTATCTATGACATCGATGCCTTGCATAACATGACGACAACAATTTGAGGATTTCTCTCATTGAACAATTTGAATCTGTTTTCTGGTGTGCTGTTGTAAAAATGTATGTGTAATGGTGGAAGTTGTCGTAGACGCTTCACATATTTGTGCCTAAGTTTGTTGCAGCAAATGAAGGACGTTTTTAACAACAAAAAAAAAAAAAAAAACTTGACTGTGTCACCCCTGAGGTCTAATGCCTCAACCTTTGGGGCCCTTTAAGCCTTTTAGTTACGATTTCACCAAAGGAACTTGACTGTGTCACCCATTGTTTTTTTTTTTTTTTTTGAAATTTCTGAACATAATGGAATCTGCTAGTTAGCGAGATTCAGAAAAGAAGAAATTTTGCACCTAAAAAAAAAAAGCAATGCTAAATAGACTAATATATATAGGAAAAAAAAAACAAGTAATGAGACATTGGTGGTTGCCAAGTTGGGATGCATAAGAAAATTGGTCCGGTCCCTTGTAAGTTTTCAAGGATTAGGTGACCAGAAGAAGGGGTTCTTGGCAACCATAATCTTTGGTAAATAAGGAAATGTAACGTAATTGATAGTAAGAGTGTGGAAGTAGGATTGTGGACCAGAGAAACGTAAAACACTAAATTTAGAATTATGGCTAGCCAAGCCAGGCAGGGTTGTGAATCGAAATCGAAATCGGTAATTCGAAACTTTGAAATCGGAATTTTGGTATCAGAATTTTCGACCAATTTTGATTTCGAATTCACCAATTCCGAATTCAAATTCGTTTTGAATTCAATTCGGAATTCGGTAAATTCCGATTTCACCAAATTCATGAATATAAAAATATTATTATTATATAAATATTATATTACATATATATATAATATTATATATATATGTGTGTGTGTGTGTGTGTGAAAATGAAATTGAAATCGAAATCGAAATAGGAATTTCGATTTCACCGAATTCATGGATATAAAAATTATTATTATAATATAAATGTTATATTATATAGATATTACATATATATATATATATGAAAAACAGATTTGAAATCGAAAAAGGAATTTCGAATTGTGAATTCAAAATCGAAATTTCCGATTTGAAAATTTTCATTACCGAATTCGACCAATTCGAAATTGGATATTCCAATTTCCATTCCGAATTATTGAATTCGAAATTCCAAATTCGATTTCAAATTCGGTCGGTAATTCGAAATTTTTTGATTTTGGACACCCCTAAGGCCAGGCATATGGAAGTTGGTTTTCCCAGCAAAACAGATAACTGCAATAAGAAATTGGAAATACCTACTTAGTTATCAAATCTAGCATGCACTCAAAAACTAAGAGTCTGTTTCGAATCTTCTGTTCTCAAATTAGTCTCTATTCTCTATGTCTCTTCTTTGTATAACTGTCATGTTGCCTCTAATATTTTAAAAACCAAAACTCAAACAAACCGATAACAATCGGTTGACAAGTTTACTCAAAACCATTCATCCAACAACTCAAAAACTTGTTTTCTTGTTAAGGTTTAAGAAAAAAGATGATTTGGGATAAAAAAAATAAAGAAGAGTTTTAGTTGATTTCTACGTTTACGACCAACAAGACTCTTTATTGTTAAAAAAGAAAATAGAAAAATGTTTTGAGTTATCTGTTTTAAATGTTTTGAGTAAACTTGTCAACTAATTATCATAAAATTAAAGGTGACGTGACAGCTGTACAAAAAAGAGACAAAAGGAATAAAGACTAATTTGAGAATAGAAGATTTGAAACGCGTTTCGATTGCTACTTTTTGAAGTTTTTGCTACTTAATTATCTTATATGTTTGGCCTTGACAGGCTTTTTGTCAACTATATCACGAGTTGTCTTACAACAGAACCAAAAAGTTTGCTGCCTCAAAGCTTCAACTCAAATTTCAGGATATATCATAAAAGCAAGAGCAGTAAAAAAAGAACCAGGTATCAATAAAAGAGACAGAAAATACAAGATTGTAACACATATGTCGTGATATATCATATCGTGTTTGGTATTGTAGATCATCATCGCTAGCATTTATGCATGCGGTTCCACAATTAAAAGAAAAAAACAAAAACAAAAGAGCGCAATAACTCATAAGAGCTGCTATTTACAACAAATAACGTTAACAAGACCACATTTTCTACATAAATAAACATATGTCCAGTCCAGTTAGGGGTGTTTCGCGAATCGAACCGCTCGCGAGCGGCTCGAATACGAGCTCGAGTTGAACTCGAGCTCATTAAGTCGATCTCGAGTTCGAGCTCGAGTTCAAAAACATTAAACTCGTTGGCTCGCGAGCGGCTTGCGAGCTCAATTATATATATATATATTTTTTTTATTTTTTATTTTAATAGTAAAATTACATATATATCCCTAATATTTTATTATTTGTTAAAAAAATTATTGTTTTATTCATTTTTAAAAATAAATAATTATTTTTTATTTTTTAAAAATAAAATAATAATTATTTTTTTTTATTTTTTAAGCTCAAGTTTGATATTTTGAGCTCGTCGAACTCGAGCTCGAGTTCGAGCTTCACAAAATTAACTCGAGCTCGGCTCGATTAGCCAAAGCTCGACTCGAGCTCGGCTCGTTTGCACCTCTAAATTTCCAGTCATGTGTGTTCACACTTCGGACTAATAAATAACCACAATCATATTACAAATTAATGACTGAATGAGACTGGTAGAAAGTGTTGCTGCTGCATGCAATGAGGTGGCTAGCTCCACCTCATTGTCATCTTTGCATTATTTTGAAGCCGGAACCCCACAATTGCATTTGCAGAGTCTTACCCAACTCCACCAGTTGCAGATTCCCTTCTCTAAAATATGGTGTATTAGTGCAATAATTGGCGCTTCCCTGTAAGTTTAGAACATCTTGTGATCAATTTATTGACCTCCTTCGTTTTGCTTTTTAGTTCTTTTGTCCAAAAGGACGTTTTCAAAGATGATCATTGAAGTTCAGGCCATCTTGTGATTAATTTATTGGCCTCCTTCGTTTATCATTTGTAGCTCTTATGCCAAAAACTACATTTTCAGGGATGATTAATTTATTTACCTCCTTCATTTTTTATTTTTTGCTCAAGGGACATTTTCAAGGATGATGCCAGCTTTTCTGGCTACCATTGAGGTTTATTGTTCAACATGGTGTACCTTGTTAATTACAGAGAACTATATTTATTTATATCTCATGTGCAAGGTTCGTGCAAAGTATGTGCTTCTAGACTAGTAAAACACAAAAATTTTAGAGCTAAAATTCATCATCTTTTGAATACAAAACCATACTTCTCTACGATTAAGAATTGTAGAAGAGAAGCCACCGCATGTTTTATATTGAGAGCTAAATGATCTTCTAAGAACTAAAAATGGCAGAAACAATTCTCTCCTTTTCGGTTAGATTACTAGTTCATAATTTTTCTGTGCCAAGAGGGAAAAATTATTGGGAGGGCTCCGACAAAAGGTCCAACCGTTGTGTTAAAATCTTTAGTCCTTAAAAAAAACCTAAAAATAAGCTTCAATTTATCCAAATAAAGAACTATTCATTTTTACACTCTATCCCTATTGTCCTAAGCAGCCAAAAATCGTAATACTTAATTTTTTATATAGATTAACAAATTTTCTTTCTTTATTTTTTTTGTTGGTTTCTTGATTAATTGGTTACTAACATTCCATCATGTATGTTATTCTTATTGTTCAAGAGTACTTGCTATTTTGCTTTGTTTTTTTAAGAAATTTAATTTGACAAACATGTAATCACAATAACTGATTCCATATTATGTTTTTAAAACTCCTTCATATGTGCGTTTTATTTTTTATCATTAGATGTTTCTTTTCCTTTAACAGAGGTCAGGTTTGGCTCTCTTTAATTTGATGTACTCTTTTTCGGTTATAAATAAATTAAGGGATGGCATCCCTATTTAATTTGACAAACATGTAATCACAATAACTGATTCCATCAATGTTTTAAAAAAAAAAAAAATCTGGCAATTGTCCTAGATCCACTTCAAACTGATAACATAGGGGATCAAATTTACTTCTGTTAAAAGTTTAAAGACTAAAACTATACATGTGCTAAATATTGAAAACCAAATTTGCTTTTCAAGGACTAAACAATATTAAAGATTAAAACTAAGATTTTCTTTTATTTCTTTGTCAATGAAATCAATGTCCAGTGCTTAATTCATTTAACTTTGTCCTTCGCTTATAAAATGATAAGATATCATTGCTACTCCTTTATCCTTCTGGAACCATAGCTCAAAGGTTCCGAAGAGTGAACAGCCCACCAACTGCATAGTCTTCTTAATAATTTCCATGATTTTGTAGTGTAGCCTGTAAGGCGGCTTCATCTTTCAAGATCACGTTGCTATCTACCTTCACTCTATTCAATTTTCATATTGTCTCTCGCCTTAGTTTCTTGCTATCTACTTATCTTTTTGAATATAATAATGGCTCCACTCAATTTTTCTTCCTTGACTTTTCACGCGGTTTTGACAATTCTTCTATAGTACATTACCATATAAAATGACAATAATGACAAACACTAGTTTTAGGTTTGTCCCACGTCGAACTTGGGAGGGGGACTTGGATAGTTTATTAGGCTCCTCAGGAACCACAAAAGTTGCCCGCTTTTGTGGTTTCTTGTAGATTAAGTTTCGTAAAATGCAAAAGTCATTCTGCTGACTCGACAAAAAAAAAAAAAGACAAAACACTAGTTGATAGAACTATATTATAATGTTGATAATGTATTTCTATCGCCTTTCTTATGTTATTTCTTTTTTTTTTTTTTTTGGGTACAATTTCTTATGTTGTTTCTAGGAACCAGTAGTGTTATTGATTATTAGAAAATTTTTGAGTCTCTGTTTCCTCTTTTGTTCTCAAAGTCACTCTTTCAGAATATAGTATTTAAGTAGCTCAAACAAGAACGATTGGTTGGCAATTTGTATGATTGATGTAAAAGGCTAGCAGATGCTAGGTAGAATCGAGTTAAGAGCCAGAATATGAAGAGAGGATCTCTAATTAACTTCTTTCTTTGGAATTAATGAAACCAGTCTCTAATAGATAAGATTTGAACTCTCATATTTCTTCACAAATTCCTCTCTTTTTGAGTACAACATCATTTGACCAAAAAAATAATAATAATAAATAAATAAACAAATAAAGTACGTACAACATTATTTAGTTGAATAAGCGTTGAAATTATCTTATATACATCTACAATTCAGTTGAAAGAAACAAGGGGCGACTTAAAGCTTAGGTTGAAGTAACTATACTTATTATCGAATCCAAGGGTTTACCAATAAATCGTTAACGGAGCCATAGTGCTAAAGGCTGCTTTTTGGCATTAATAGGTGCACAAGCATTGGCGTTCTGAAATTTGAAGAAAATTTATAAACTCTTTGGGTGCCTTTCTGCTTCTTGCCTGCTATAATTTTGTAGTCTTAACTAGTTTCAGCTACTCTTGGCTAGATTTCACAAAAGAATTCAGAAACCTGAATTTAACTTGGGTCTTCAGTTGCTTTTTCTGTTCCACTCCGAAGAAATAACTTTCCTCTGCATCACATATTCCAGGAAAACTCAAAGCTAGCTTCCATTTGATTCAGAACTGTCATTTTTGTTTTGAGGTGGGATTTTCTTTATTTAAAGTAGATTCACACTCTCTTGTAGTCTTTCCTCTTTAACTACTTAAACACACATGCTTGTCTACACCGTAAATTTGGTCAGACGCCGTATTGGAGTGGTTTGTTCCCAAGGCTTCTTTGATATTCCATCCGTTTCTATTACAAAAAATACTAATCGGTCCAAGGGGCCAAAAAAAAAAAAAGGCAGAAATTAGTTCCATATGAGGATAAGGTTGTATATATCAGCAGAAGGAGAAAAAGGCTTTGTAGTAGTTTTATTTCTTCCAATGAAATCAATGTCCAGTCCAGCCGCGTTTTAACTTTATTCCTTCCCTTGTTAAATAATTAGACATCATTGCTTTTGCACGATGCTGCGGTAGTCACTCCTTTATCTTTATTCGACCAAAGAACCCACACTTGAAAGAAGGTCCTGAAGACTGATCACCCCACCAATTGCAGTGTCTTCTTAATAGCTTCCATGATTTTGTATTGTAGCAGGTAAGACCATGGTTCGAAGTCTCGGCCGAGACCGAGACGACTCGGCCGAGTCGTCACCGTCTCGGCCCCTGCCGATACGATACCGTGACGAAACGATACCGAGATACTTGACTCGCCGAGAAATCGGCCGAGACGTCACCGCGACGGATTGACTCGGCCGAGTCACACCGAGTCACTCCGAGTTATCTCGAGTCAAGACGAGAAATCGGTCGAGTTACACCGTGACGGATTGACTCGACCATTTCTTTTGCTATTTTTTATTATTTTTATTTAGCATACTTTTTTTATATTATTAACAAATTTTAGAATATTAAATACTTTAAAATTTGCGTCTCACCGAGACCGCGACCGATATGCCGAAACCGATGTGGAACGTTCCTGGCCGCGACCGTGACCGCAACCGCGACTTTGAACCATGAAGACAGCTTCGTCATTCAAAATCTCGTTGCTGCCTATCTTCCTGTCTCCAATTTCCATAATGTTTCTTCAAGTGTTTCTTCTAATTGGTTTATTCTTTCTTCTTCTTTTTAACACGGTTTTTCTTTTTGATAAATACTGCAACATATGTCAAAGATCATCAGATTATGAATCTATAATCTACTCTTCCTTCTCCCTCTCAAGGTACTACAAGTAACTGACCTATAAACGAGAAGCCGCCTTCCCCGAAATTCGAAAGTTTAGAAGAAAGACTGAAAATGGCAGAAACAATTCTACCGTTTGTGCTGCGTCAACTCTCAACTTTTCTCCGCGAGGAAGGACAATTATTGGGAGGGCTTCGGCAAGAGGTTCAATTCATCATGGATGAGTTGGGGCACATAAGAGCTTTCCTGAGAGAGGCAGAAGAAAAAGAAGAAGATGCTCAACCCAGGCTCCAAGAATGGATCAAGCAAGTCCGAGAAGTTGCTTATGACATTGAAGACTTTCTTGATGAATTTGGAGCTCGCTTTCCTCGGCATCCCACAACAGGATTCCATGGCTCTGTTCGGAGAACTTTCAGCTCCATCAAGAATTTGAAAGCTCGTCATCGAGGTGCTAGCAAAATACAAAGCATCAAGTCCAGAATCAAAAGTATTTCTGAAGGTCATCAAAGATACCAATCCGAATTTGGTATCTCTACCCAAGCGTCCAACTCACTTTCTGCTGCGAACAACACAACATGGCGCTATAGCAGGGATGATGCACTTCTTGTGGAAGAAGCTAAATTAGTTGGCATTGAACAGCCCAAAAAACATCTAATTTCTCAGCTCCTCAAAGGGGATGATTGCCAACTAAAAGTTGTTTCAGTAGTTGGTATGGCAGGACTTGGCAAAACTACCCTAGTGAAAAAAGTCCATGAGGATCCTGATGTTATAAGTCATTTCCCAGTTCGTGCTTGGGTAACTGTCTCTCAAACATGTGACTTTCAGGACCTCCTAAAAGACTTGATTCGGCAGTTATGCAAGGAAGGGAAGAAACCAGTCCCACAATTGATAGAGTCCATGACTACCGCTGAGCTGAAAGAATTTATCAAAAATTTTCTTCAACAAGCTGGAAGGTATGCAATTGTTTTTGACGATGTATGGGACGTGGAATTTTGGAATACCATAAAATTTGCATTGCCCGAGAGTAGCCGCGGCAACCGTGTCATGCTAACAACTCGCAAAGCTGACGTAGCCTCTGCCTCTTGCATTGAATCTCGGGGTCTTGTCTACAAAATGGAGCCACTATCTATTGAGGATTCGTGGACCTTGTTTTGCAACAAGATTTTTAACGGGGATAATTGCCCTGGCCATTTGATGGATGCAGCCAAAGGTATATTGGATAAATGTGCGGGCTTGCCCCTTGCAATCATCGCAATTAGTGGGCTTTTGGCTTTGAAAGATGTAAACAGAATAGAGGAATGGGAGAAGGTTCGACGCAGTCTTGGGGGTGAATTAGAAGGCACTGGGAAGCTGGATAGAGTTAAGAAGATACTCTGTCTTAGTTATAATGATTTGTCTTGGCAGCTAAAGACATGTCTGTTGTACACAAGTGTCTTCCCAGATGATTACAAAATACAAGGCGTCAGACTAATTAATTTGTGGATTGCTGAAAGGTTTGTAGAATGGAGAGAAGGAATGAACATTGAAGATATAGCTTGGGGTTATCTCAGTGAACTCGTCAATAGAAGTATAATTCAAGTGACTCGTGTGTTTTATGAAGGAATACCCCGACATTGTCAAATCCATGACTTGTGGCGAGAAATTATCATTTCCAAGTCAAGAGAACAGAACATGGTCACAATTACTGCTGGACAACCAACAAGGTGGCCATCCGAGAAGGTACGCCGTCTAGTAGTCCATAGTAGTAGAAGTAACAACACCCAGCACCACCAACAAAGGCCAAATTATTGCTTTGACTGCCTTCGGTCTTTCATTACAGTTGGATCCATGGATCCACCACTATTCAAAATGTTGTTATCTGAAGTTTCAATGAGTAGTAAGCTGTTAAAGGTTTTGGATTTGAGAGGTCAAGCGACACTGGAGAAAATACCAAATGAGATTTTCAACTTGTTTCATCTCAACTATCTAAACCTATTTGGTACAAGAGTGGAGAGAGTTCCGAAAGCCATTGGGAAGCTTCAACATTTGGAGTATCTGAATTTGGGAAATACTAGAGTTAGGGAATTACCCATGGAAATCCTAAAGCTGCAAAAACTTTGGTTTCTCAAAGTATTTCAACTAGTTGATTCTTCAGATGATGATTATGGATTTCATGGATTTAAGGCTCCATCAAATATGGGAGGGCTTCTTGGCCTAGAAATATTAGAGTGCATAGATGCTAGTGGTGAATCTACAATAATTCAAGAGATAGGAAAGCTGACCCAATTAAGAGAATTAATTATTACAAAGTTAAAAAGAGAAGATGGAAAGGGGCTTTGCTCCTCCCTTGCCAACCTCACCAATCTTAGGGAATTAACCGTTAATTCAGTTGGAAAAGGTGATGATCATGAGATACTCGATCTAAACCATCATTATTCTTCTCTTTCTTCTTCTTCTTCTTCTTCTTGTTCGTTTCTTCAATCTCTTCATATGCTGATTTTGCTTGGCCACTTAGAAAAGATGCCAAAATGGGTAGTTCATCTTCACAGCTTGGTAAGAATAGATTTGAATTGGAGCAGGTTAAGGGGTGAGGAGGATCCACTTGAATCCCTCCAGTATTTGCCCAATTTGCATAGTATTAATTTTTGTGGATCTTACCAGGGAGAAGGGTTGTGTTTCAAGGTTGGAGGGTTCCTAAAGCTGAAAAGGTTGCACTTAAAGAGCATGGAAGGGTTGAGATGGATGAGAGTGGAGGAGGGTGCACTGCCTCATCTCCAAAGGCTAATTCTAGAAAAACTTCCATTACTAGAGGAGTTACCTTTGGGTATTCAGCACTTGAGCCATCTTCAACAGCTGTTTTTGTATGAGATGAGTTCTCAAATGATGGAAAAGATGGAGAATCAAAAGGAAGAAAGTGAAGGTTACACAAGAATCGCACATATTCCTGAAATTGTCCTTGTTTACAATACAAATGATGGGAAATGGAGACACCGCCGGCTGTGGGCGAAGAACAAGAAAACATATAATCTTTCCTAACAAGTAGCAGCAATAGCAACCGTGGCTTCCTTTTCTCTGGTTTGCTTGCCCTTCCTGTTGTGGAATGTGGACGACACTGCTTCCTCTTCTTTTGTGTTTTTTTTTTTCTTAGGAACTTCTTTTTCCTTTGAAATCCACGAGAGAAGTTCATCAACTTTTGTGTCTTGCCTTAGTTATTGTATACATTGTGTATATTGCATGATGTTGTTAATGACTTAATGTACTGTATACTATTACTCTTATCCTTTTGTTTCTTGATCTTTTCTATAATTGATTTAGCAAATGATCAAGAGGTAGGCAGGTTACAAGTGTATTAATAATATCTACCAGAAAATTTTCATTAAAAACTCCAAATAATAACTCTTAAATTTTGGTTAGAGATCATTCATCATTGACTAGTATAATTATTTTGTACTAATAAACCTACAATGTGTATCACTAGTTGTTTCTTAAAATATTTTGGGCAAATTACACTTTATCCCCTGTGATTTAGCATTTTTTACATAACTCCCCTATGATTTCAAAATCTAAAGGTAACCCCATCATAGTTTGAATTAAAATGTTAAAGTGACAGAGTTTGAATTTCAGAACGGAGTCAACTAAAAAATCAAAAATACCCCTGTATAAAGTCAAAAATTATTTATTAACCACAGAGATGTTATGTATATATTTTGAAAACTATAAAAGGATTCAGAGTGTCATGCATATTATGTTTATATATTTTGGTCATTTAACCATTTTAGTTTTTTAAATAAGGGTAATTTTGATATTTTTATAGATTCCGTTACGAATGATCATTTCTGTTACTTTGACACTTTAATCCAAACTATGATGGGGTTACGTATAGTTTTTAAAAGTATAAGGGGGTTATGTGAAAAATAGATATACCGCAAGGGGTAAAGTGTATTTTGTCCCATATTTTTACATTGAAAATCCGCATTTCATTCTCTCTTAGGAATTATCACAAAACACAAAATTTGGATTCGATAAAATTCAGTCTAAACATTTTTCCTTCTAAACTTGACAAATCTGGGTGAACAATCAATCATCTTCTAGTAGTATCCAAGGACTCGTTAGTTTTTTTTCTTTTTTGTACATTATTTATTAGAAAATCAAAAGATGTGATTTGTGCTGGCAATTAGGAACAAAAATGCAGATGATCTATGTATATGTATGTTGGCAACCAAGAGCAACCACTGGCCTATTGGCTTGAAGTTACAAGGATCAAAACATGAAGTTACGTATGGAGAAGAAAGGTTAATGTATCCGCGGAACGGGTGAAAAGTTTGTGCAGGTAGTTTTAATTCTCTGGCAGGCAATGATCTTTTGAGTTTATTCCTTTCTTCCCCCAACAGCTTATTTCTTGTCAACTGTACTATTCTTGACGAAAGGAGTTGACTGCAAGTCCCCCCATGGTTAATTACGTTTCATTTCTGGGCCTCTGATCTAATAGCATTTAATTTTCCACACTTTTCCTTGCTTTCTAAATGCAGAACTTCTTTTTTTTTTTATTTTTTTAACTGGGGAAGGTTGGAGTTTACGAGACGGGGAGGGGGAAAAAGGGATTTGAATCCAATACCTTTAAAAAGTGGAATTTCACCATTAACTATTGTATCAAAGTTTCCTCTCATCTTGCAAAAAATGAACATAATTTTTAAGTTATTTTGACAACCTCTAGAAATTCATTTGACTATATATTTTAAAAGGAAGGAGAGAGAGAGAGAACCCACTTTTATATCCAACCCAACAATTTACCACATAGAAAATGAAACATTCAATGACCAAAACCTAGAAGACCTTATGCATAGAACTTTTAAACTTTTTGGGGATGTACCTTTGGGGCTTTTTAGCCTCTAAATCCAATCTTCGCCCAAATGAACTTATTCGTACTTTTTTTTTTTTTAATCTTAGTTCCTGGAGACTATGGACAACTTGAACATAATGGCATAAGCTAGTTAGCAAAATTCAAAAATATAAAAAAAAATCTGTACCTAAAACATTAAACAATGATAATGGACTAAAATGGAAAAGCAAACCACTAGTCAGATAACCTATTGTGTTGTTGCCAAGTTGGGATTAGGGCTGCAAACGAATCGAGCAGCTCGAGTCATGCACGATCAAAATCGAGCTCGAGTCGAGTTCGAGCTGGCTCGAGTCGAAATCGATCTCAAAATATTAAGCTCGTTAGCTCGCGAGCTCGAGTATATATATAATTTTTTTTATTTTTTTTATTTTAAGTATATATATAATTTTTTTTATTTTTAAGTATATATATTTTTTTATATTTTTATTTTAATAGTAAAATTACATATATATCCTTAATATTTTTATTATTTATTAAAAAATATATTATTTTATTTATTTTTTAAAAAATAAAATAATTATTTTTTTAATTTTTTTCGAGCTTGAGCTTGGCTCGAATTGATTCCAGTCGAGCTCGAACTCGAAAATTGCCGGCTTGTCGAGCTCGAACTCTTGGTAAAATTTAGTCGAGACTCGACTCGATTAGCCCAAAGTTCGACTCGACTCGGCTCGTTTACAGCCCTAGTTGGGATGAATAAGAAAATTGGTCTTTGATAGTGTTTGTTTGCCAGGAAAAAGGGAGAAAAGTGAACGAAAATGACTTTCAAGCCAGTTTTGAATATTTGTTTGTTAGGAAATTTATGGGACCCATTACATTCCACTCATTTTCCTTAAAACTTTTCTTGCTGAAATTTATATGGAAGTGACTCAGGGAAAAGTTTCAACTAATTATCTTTTACAACTCCTTTCTTTCTAAATTAGAATATCTTAGAATTTACAATTCAAAAAATTGGCTTGTAATTAGACATTTTATTCTTATTTTAACAACTAATGAATTACTAATTTGTTGACTTTTATGACATTAGTATTTTTTTTCTTTTACATTTTATGCTTGTCTTTTATGTCTATATATTTGTGAAATAACTTATACACACACACACACATGTGTGTGTGTGTGTATATAAACTTATGGTTAAAGAATGTGATTGATTTTGAGGTAACAACTCTTCCAATATGCAAAATGTTATATTTATTACATATTTTTACATGTATTAAATATAAAAAAGAAGTTCAATATTGAATATTTTCTATTAACGATTACATTACCCAATTTTTTATGACTTTTTGGCTAAACAAACACAAAAACTTGTATTTTCTTGTTTCATTTTGTTAACCAAACACATCTGGGAAAATTAGTTTCCTTCCATTACATGACTGCACTTCATTTCTTCCCACGGCATACTTTCTTACACGGTTTCCCCATGAAACAAACAAAGCCTTAAGTTTTCGAGGATTAGGTGACCAAAAGCCCGTTGGCAACCGACGATAACCATAATCTTTGGCGGATAAGGAAATACTAGGAGGCATAAAACGCGCGTTGCGCGTTGGGATAAATATAAAATATGCCCCCTTAAACATGTGGATTCATGGAACAAAAATGTTTGTTGGTTAATAATTTGTGTACACAGCTAAGCATAAATATACATGAATAAGTAGACGGCAAAATCATTTCACAAAAATAGTACGAATATTTATTTACATTTATAGAGAGGTACTGCTAGGATTTAAAGCTAATACTTTTTAAATTAATATTTATTACTCGTTTAGGATGAGAATAAAATTCAACATTTTCATGAAGTGCAGAAGCATAGGATGTGATGATTTGAATATATCGTACTTCATAAGAGAGAAAAAGTACTGTCAAGATTTAGAACTACTTTTGTTGGAACTTGGGAAATTCTTCTTTTATCTCACTCCATTTCTTGTTTAACATGAGAATCAAGTTTACTATTTTTCATGAAGTATGGAAACATAGATTGTGACCACAAGTATATATTATGCTTCACAGGACAAAAAGGGAAATACTAAGCTAAATTTGAAGGCATTTTCATTATATATAGCAATATTGATCCAATTGTGGTTATAGTAGCTTGAAAAAAAAAAGCGATTGAATTCTCATATTAGTTGACTATGAGTTAACCGAGTTGAACAATGAAATTAAAATGATATGGGTACAGTTTTTGAATTTTTCTTTAGTTGAATTGGATAATAATAAAAGAGTTCTAAAATTGTGAAATATAAAGGAATATCTCGCTGATGAAAAGAGTTCTAAGATTGTTGAACTGTTTTCAGATCTTTCCGTAATTCATTGATGGTGGCATAATTCTTTACTCACAGTCATTTCTCTCCTACTAATAAATCGGAAAATATCGTGATTTATGAATTTCCTTTGTTGCTTTGTATTTGCAGGACTGGGAGATTGTAGTAGCTTTAGAAAATCTGGCGGAGTGCCAAGAAACTATCTTAAACTGGGAGGTTGTAGGACTGGGAAGTTGTTAAAGGCATTGGCTTCACCCATAAAGGCTGCTCTTTTTGACAAGGCCCTTTTTGATAAACTATCCTGTTGTTGCGGCCATGACAACTCCTGAGAAGAATACTCGCCAACGGTCATCTCTTCTAGGTAAAATGCTAGCTAAAGAAAAAATATGAGACCAAGGATCTCAAGTCTCCTAAAGAATATTTATTCTTGATAAACTATAAAGGTTATTATCCACCAAACATTCTTATTTCATGAATCTATGTTTAATTGGGCATGTTTTTTATTCATTCCAATGCGCATCGCACGGTTTATGCCTCCTAGTAATAATGCATTCATCAATCACATTTCAGATGCTCATCAAACAAAGGAAAATGGAAGCCCCATATAAAACTCTCCAATTTCAGAGTCGGGACCTAAATTTTGCAACAAATTCAATCGAAACATCAATTAAATCAATTATGGTTCATACACTTCCTGAGAGTCACAACATTACAACATCTTTAAGTTACAATTTTTGGCCTATCTCTTCTACTTGAAGTTGCTGTGAGTTAGCCTGGAACTCTGTCATTTGTACATGATTGTATGGGGACTGTACTTTTAAAAAAAAAAAAGAGTTATAAGAAGGAGGGTCCTATTTTACATCTGACTGCTTCAGAAGTCTAGTCAACATTGACTACTTCTGCAACAACGTGGAGTGTAAGGAGGAGCTACACAAGACAAAACTTTTTTTAATGGTTGTATTTCCAAAAAGAAAGCACGCGTGCACCAGAATTTGATTATCATCAATGAATGATATAGGACCTGCTGCCTTTTCTCCAATACTACCAGCAGTACAAAATCATTGAAACTCCAAGCTCTACATACGTCTAAAATGATATCCCTGCTAACTTATCAACTCCCGCGTGGAAACGAAGGTCAGAACCAATCTGCTCTGAGGTGGGATATACCCAGCAAAAGATATTTGGTCCTAAAACCTGAAAGTCAAGTAAATCACGTATAAATGCCTAGAAAGCTAAGACCATATCTCGGAGAGCATGTTGTACCATGATATCTACAGTATTAGTTAGTAAACTTCTATGCATAAAAAGCCTAATTTGATCAGCCAAATGAAGTGCCTACTCTAGACTCTCTGATTTGCTACTAAGAACAAGAGAAGAGAAACAACTTACTGATATCATATTCTCATAAGCATCAAGATCATATGGATGTGAATATAGATAACCTCCTTTTTCAGCAAGCCACATAGCTCTCACACCTTCATGGTACTGTATGGTAAAAAAAGGTAGGAAGTAGTCATCAGACTTGATCAGATGCCAGATAGATGAAAAAAAATTACTATCACCACCAATGCAAACCTCTATTGTGGTCTTGTTTTGCAGAATAAGATAAACATGCCAAAACACAAAGATGGTCAGCACAAGAGTCAATGGCACCAGCAGGAGCCTGAAATGACCTGAAGGCTAAACTGTTCAAGTTGAATGCAAGGATATGCAAATTATAACTTGTTGAAATATAGATACAGGAAGAAGTTTATACACAAGATGCGCGCCAGCAACTGAACATTACATGCCCAATTAAACATAAATTATAAAAGCACTCGTCAATGTTTCTATGTCTGTACATCTTTATCTATAGCATATACATAGTATATACATATTTGTTCTTCATGCAAGTCACTGTAGCAAAGCATTGTGAATTTGATACAAACATTATAAACCAAAAGTATAATGAAATAGTATGTTTTGAGAATAAAAACCTAATCCCTAAAGCAACTTTTGTCACTAGCATATAGTTTTCTTAAATCAGGATCAAACAAAAGGATTTGCCATTTGAAAATATATTTATCCCGGCCATCATCCAAATATTATACTTGTTTGTGCTATTCTTTTCTAAAACCATCTATATTTTCTTTTCCAATTGAAAAAACCGTGACACTGGCATGTCTGCAAAGCAACCCCAACCAAAGTCTCTAAATTCTCCAAAGCAACCACAACCGGAGACTCCATAGTTTGGATGGCTAGCCATATCAAAAGCTCTCCTATCAGTGAGCAAGCAAGGGACAGAAATCTCTCGTACATGGTCAAAAATTAGCACAAAACTTAGCATAAATTCAATAATAATCAATAAGAAGACAAATATGCAACAATAATGTTGTCTTCCAATCTTTCAATACTATTATCCGGAGCACTTTATCACTAATTGCAAGCAAATGCTCAAAGCACCGATAGTGAAGAATGCTACTAACCCATTAGCTTTCAAATATATAGCTTTCAAATCATATCTTTTATACCAATTACCCTAACACTTACCGTAAGCGTTAAGAATTTACAAAAAAGGAAACAGGTTCCACCATAGTTTCACAAAGGCCTCATTAGAATCTATACCGACTTTTCCAAATAGATCACTTTCATATTTTTCTAACAAAAAAAAAAGTGAAATAACACATTACCAGCTTCCAGTATTATAGACAAATTCATAATTACAAAAAACATCCTCAAGATAATTTGGCAATTTAAACTTTATAAATAAAAAATAAATTTAACACATAAAACCAATGATTTGGGAAAAAAGGGGAAAAAAGTAACTGTTGCTCGATGGTGGCATTACTTGAAATAATCTATCTTTCTTTCTGGGATTACTGTTGCTGCTAATATAGCTATTAGGATTGTTACAGTCAAACTTGCAATAGTAAAGTTTAAGCACTCAATTTATAACAATACCAATAGTAAATAAAGGGAAATAAATGAAAATGATCAGATGGTCCATACAAATTTATAAAAATAAGTAGGTCCTAGTTCAAATTAAGGAAAAAAACCTTAGGAAATAAAAGGGAAAAAAGAATGGCTTTTTATTTTCTTTCCTTTTCAAGAAAATTCAGGGGAAGGCTCACATTCTTGAGGTAGTGGTATCAATTAACATATTGAAACCCTAGAATTGTAGTCTAGACAATTCTTTTTTATCCCCTAAATGGCCAAATGAGAAGAGGTGGGCAGTTTTTAACCAAAATAAGAAAATATAAAGGCATACCAAGGATGGAATGTGAATGATATATCTAAGGGATTCCCTGCCGAACTTACCAAAACCTCTTCCAGATTTTGAACCACAAATATCACATTGCCATGCATCCTGACAAATAGAAAGAAATGGAAACAATTAGCATAATAATCAGGGATGCCACAGGTAGCTTTTTGACTATTCCATTTTGGTTTTAACTTTTTCCTCAAAGAGGAGAGCAATCGGCAGGATCTTAATAACAAATACCAATTATGAGGAACAAAATTCACATCCCCAAATAATCATGATTTACATACTCCAATTGGGAAAGGGTGCTTTCCACTTAAACTTTACAAAATTATATGTTCCAAGAGATCCACAAGGATACCGCAATCTAGATATAAAAGCACACCATAACATTACTAATCAACCTGCATATTTTGACAAGGAATTTGAACAAAAGAATTTGCAATAATCTTTTTCACACACAACTCAAGTCACAGAATAGTTTTGAAAAAAGCAAGTTACACAGATAAACTAAGTACTATGGCTACCTGGGGAAATACCCATAACGTATGGTGCCCAACATTGTCATATAGAGACAAACACCACCTCTTTTTAGCACGGGGAGAGTAATATTCTGAAACGAACTTCCTCCAATAAGCAATGCTATTATCCTGCAAAATAAAGCTCTTATAGAATACCAATCCAAGCCAAAAAACTAATTAGACCAGACTCTTATGAAACTCGTACATTCTTTATTCCTCAAAACATACATTCTAGTTACATTATCCATGAATCTTGAAGGATAGGGAAGCCAGGTAGTACAGAGGATCACGAAGTATTTTTGCAAGAAAACCACATTTATACTCACTGCAGGTCTTTGACGCTGATGGTATAGATATTGCATCAGCCCGCGAGAGCAGACACCACCATCATAGGGTCGTTCGTCCCAGATGGTGTTGCACCCTGTTGTTGAAGCTGTTGAAGAAAAATCCCCTGAAAAATAAAAAGAATACAATCAGTCAAGATACAAAAAAAAAACCACTAAATGACCATCTCTTAAGCCCTAGAATTTCAAGATATTTTGGAAAACCAAAGCAAAACATCAAAAAAAAAGCAAAGGCATCTTCGCATGTAGACTGGGAAACGGGAAAATAATCGAAAAGTCAAAAACACCGAAATACTGCCTAATATTGATATTCACGTTGAAAAAAAACGAGGAGCAAAAAATTTAAAAATAAAATTGAAGGGCGAGAGAGTGGAGATCGAGGGAGGAAGAGCAGTAAAAAATCTGATGACTGCGAGGATCTTGTGATGGGATCGAAAGTCCTCCCAAAGGCTGGGAGGGGATTCGACGACGATGAACTTGAAGCGCAGGGAGGTTGAAGGAAACCCCAGGGAGGTGGGAGAAGGGGGACTTGTGATGTTGGGGGTAGAAGGAGCTCCTAGAGGAGAGGTAGACAGTGTGGTGGAGAAAGTCAGAGGAGAAAATAAAGAGGTCAAGATCGAGAGAGAGAGGAAGGACCGGAGAGAAAGTTTGAGGAAAGAGACGAGAAGAAGAAAGGGAAGGGAAGAGAGGCGGCGTTTTAGTCTGACCTAGGGTTAGAGTTAGAAGAGTCACGCGCAAGACGGTAAAACAGTGGTGAACGTCATGGAAGAAGACAACGAAGCTAAACCGTGCCGGACGAAAAGAAACAAGCGAAAGATAACACATTGAGAAATTGAAGTTGATTTGTTGGAAAAAAAAAAAAAGAAATTGAAGTTGAAAGGCGAACAACACAAAATGACGTCGTCAGGAACCGCAGCACCGCGTGAGTAATCTGTTGGTGTTGGGATGGATTTAGCTTCTGAGGATGAGGATAAAGGTGAGGCGAAGGAGAGAAGGGGAGAAGAGAGAAAGCGGCGGCAGCGGAGGAAATTTACGAAAACCCTAGAGAGGAAGTATCTGCAGACGTCTGGCGCATCGCGCGGAAAAAAAAAGGCTGGTAATTCACATGCTTGGCACGTGAGAGGACGACGAAAACCATCCAGGTCATCAGAGCCCTTCGGCTCTTTATCTACTTATGTTGATAATTGATACCACAGCAGAGTCCAGTTACGACCTGTCTTTTTTCCCTATCCTTAATAGGATTGGATCTTTTGCTATCTTTAATAGGCAGAACATCTTTTGTTCTCACTAGGCTTATTACTAGGGGTGGGCGCGGGTCGGGTACCCGTCCCATTCACCATTTGGCTGATCCGACCCGCACCTTGCGGGTCTGCCATTTTCTGACCCTTACCCGCCCCGCATATCAGCGGGTACCCTATAACGGGTACCCACTGAGATAGGGTCGGATCAGCGGGTACCCGTCCCGCCCCGTTTATCATTTAATTTTTAAAAAAAAATGATTTATACCAATTTAATTTTATATTTTACACATTCATCTAAGATTTAATAATTTTTTTTCTAAAAAAAGGTTTCCCACCAAGAAACAAGCATATGAAGAGAATATAAGATAAAGGAAAAAAATTAAAAGAATTCAAAATCAATAAAAGTTTGAAATAAGTAGCACAATTTTTAATATATATGTTTCACATTAATTAAACTTCTTTCTATAAAATATAAGATCATGGCCTTTACAAATGAATTTTATAAATAAACTATAGTCTCTCATATTTGTAATGCAATTTGTTCAATAAAATTACTTATTTAGTTCTAACTTATTATTTTATAGTGTGTGTATAAAAATAAAAAAAAATATATATATATATATATATATATATATATATATATATACGGGGCGGATCGGGTACTCGCGGGTTTTTAATTATGTGACCCTAACCTGCCCCGCATCTTAGCGGATACCCGACCATCTTTTGACCCGATCAAATAATAAAAATCGGATACCCTAATTTTCGGATCGGATCGGATCGAATATAACAGGTTTTCGGATTAGCGAATAATTTTGCCCACCCCTACTTATTACATTTTTTTAACAACATGAAATTGATTGTATTTCTTGTGCTAGGAAAAAGAATAATTAAATCAAATAAATTTATTTTAAATTTTAAAGATTTTCCTGTATTGATACTGATTTTATCTCTTCTCCTTATACATTCTTTTTTATTTTTCCCTTCCACACCTCCCCACACCCTTAACTTAACTGTTGAACAGGATTTGAACCTGAACCTGACAATTTTAAAAAGATTCTAAAAGTCATCCCCTTATACATGTGATATTAGATTGAATAAAATTTTAAAGTCTTAATATTTTTATATACACAAATTTGAAAATATATATATATGTTATATGTGATGGCTGTTTTGTATATAAACATATGATATCCTTACTCAAATTTTAAGTTTTACCAATAGTTGAAGTATTATTCGTGAAATATAATAGTCAAAAGTTTATTACATATTTCTTACAATTTGCTAAAAAGTACGAATATCTTTCAGTGCGTTTTACATGAAATACAAATATATATATATATATATGTGTGTGCATAGGAACGTTTATTATATATGTGTAATACAATTTTTGTACTAATTGTGCTATCTAGGGTATCCGCGCGATGGATTGATGAATAAATGCAAGACAATAAAATTTAGTACACAAACGATATCAGCTGTGAAGCCATTATTGTTTAAACAAAAAGGTATTATAAAAAATTCATTGATTTAAAACATAATCTGTATTAAATTACAGTACACACTCTAATTAGACAAATTACATCAAGCAACCTGCAAAGTATAAGCTGAGTGCAAATCATAGACATGAGACACATAATTGATACGAGTCCAATTACATTAAAGGGAGGCTCGACTCCGTTGTACTAAAATGGAAAAGGTTTGAGATCCAGTATCACATTCCAGCAGTAAATTAATCTTGCCCGTCAAATTGATCCTAACAGCACAAGTGAAATCAATTAGGGTCATTTTTTAAGTACCATACAAGGCTTAATGAATCATACAAATGAATGTTAAGATTGAGATGCTAAACAAAAAGAAATTAATCAGAGGTACTTGATATGCAACTCGTGACTTTGTAAGCATAGGTTAGTTGAACAAGGGGCAATAATGGATTATATGCGTTGATGAAGAGCAAAATCCAGAAAGAAACTTAGAATTGTTGACAAGAGAGAGAGAGGTACCTGATCTGCTGAGTCACGATAAAATATTGGAAACATTACGGACAATAATGGTGGGTATATGGGAGACTTTGTCAAAATCCTGTCCCTGATCTTCATGACCATTTGCTGCTTGGATTCTATCTGTGAATTCCTTTGGCATCGCTGCAATGCTCAACTCTTTCAGCGTTTTAACGAATCTCAATCCATTGGGAACCATCTCCAGCTTCGTGCAATATACAATTGTCAAGACCGAAAGGTTGGGCATGGCTCCTTCATCAACATTCCACTTCTCTAAGTTCCATAGACACTCAAAACGAAGAAATCTGAGTTGGCCAAAACCTGTTGCCTTGCACCTCATCTCTTTCCCGAGAATATATAGATCTTGCAAGTGAAGCGACCGGAGATTAGGGAGCCTTTCCAGAGTTTCCATGGAATATTCCTCTATCTCCATTCTGGTTAGTTTCAATTTAAGAAGGCTTGCATACCTATACTGGGCTTCGTACTTGGGAAAATTGGCCAGGGGACCGCTTACCTTCAAGACTTGAAGATTGCGACTAGAGAAACATTGGCCAACAGCATCCGACAATTTCTTCTTGGTTAAGGCGACAGCGGGTGTTAGTACGCCTTTGTTAAAGACAAGATTTAGGGATGTGCAATGCACGTGGTCAGCGTTTGCCATTAATCTATGCATTTCTACAGGGAAGTACTCGTCATCAAAGTTCCCCATGAATACCACGGCGGATAGTACTCGAAGGTTCTTCAATGTTGATATATCTTGAGATGAACAAGTCGGAGGACAAAAGTTTTCCAGGATCTCTAGCTTGTCCAATCCTTTGAGTCGCAAATTTTTGCAGCACAAATTTAGGTTAAACTTGCCCACCATACAGTCACTGTAATTAGCCGGAAGATACAAGTGCCTAAGCTGTCTCATCTTCCAAAGCACATTAGGTATTCTACACACTCCAGCTCGTAAATCAAGTGTCTGCAAGTTTTGTAAGTTGCCCAAGGACGATGGCAAACAGAGGAAAACTGAACCTCTCAAGCTCAAGTATCGCAGGTGGATCAGCTCCCCAATTGCTTTTGGGAGCCTCAGGTGATCTGCTACGAGGAGAAATACACTTTTAAGTATGGGAGCTTTTGGGTCCGCAGGAGAGAGTCCTTCAATGGCCAACGCTCTGAGCATTTTGAACCGATTGAATTGAGACTTCATTTTCTTAGGAAGATGCCCTTCATAGTCTTCATTACCTGAGATCAACAACGCGAGTGACCTCAGGTGCCTCGTATTTCTCTTCTCAGCTGGAGGGACATATTTCCTAACATCCTCCGCAGAAAAATGGACGGCTAGACGGTAAACTTGTGAGTGATCATTATTGCCATGCTCATCGAGAATTCCATCATGATAATAGCTTATGGATAACAAGAAATTCTCTTCTTTGGCCTTGAGCAAACTTAGGTCTCTCATTAAGTCATGAAGGCGACACGATGCAAATGATCTTCCAATGGAGGACAGCATCACATCATCATCATCATCAGGGGCTTTACCTTGAACCATGCACCGTGTTACTAATTCTCCCAGGTATCTTTCTGCTACATCCATCATTGATTCTTCACCAATCTGATCTTTTGTTGATATTATACCTTCTGCAATCCATAACTGGTACAATGCCTCTGTTTCTATGTCAGAGTCTTCTTCATATCTGCTCAAGTAAAGGAAGCAAGGCTTCAATTTGTAGGGCAAGTCATTGTAGCTTAAGGCTAATATCTTGTGCAGATTTCCTTCTTCTTTGGTCAAGTTGTTTCCTTTTCCAAGATGAGCTTTAATGTTTCTATTGACAGTCGCCCACTCATTCAGGTCCTTCTTGGTGGCAAGAGTTCCGCTGAGCACTATCACAGCCAATGGAAGACGCCCACATGCTTTCACCATTTCCTTCCCTAAATTTTCCAATTTTTTGAAATCTTCATGTTCTGTCAAAGAGAGATGATGAGTTCTATTAGTCTAATTACTTATAGAAGTGTCGAGTTGCTCAATGTATGTGCACTACATTGAATTAACTCGTGTGCCAACTAATTAACAATTTAACATGTCTGTTTAACTAGTTTATACTAGCATCATGAGTATATATATGCGCACATTGAAAATAAATATTTATGCATAAATAAACACTCTAAATAATGGTTATCTTGTCAGTGTTTCATGTTGAGATAGAACTCTTAGGAAACTGAGAACGCAGAGTTATACTATTAAACAATGTAAGAGGATGTTGCTCTTTAAGCGATGGCAGTTGATCCCGATTGTCAATTTTGTTGTTTTGCTCTAGAATCTTTATCACGCATGTTTTTCTATTTTCTGTTTGTTGTTGCTATTAAGGAGGTTGTGTAAAAGACAATTTTTGGTGTACAGAGCAACAACTAATTTCGATGAAGAATTGCGTGGGATGACTTTGAATTGCTTATCTGCTCCTCAGATTCTTTTGTTTGGTTAATGAGAAAGGTGGCTATTTTGCTGCTATTGTTTATAAGCTTTGATATTGTAGAAATTTGGATGCGTTCAAACAGCTTGTGGCTCATCCTCAAATAGAAGTGGAGCAGATAGAACAATGCTGAGGCCACTGTCGTTGGCTAGAAAAGGTGCAAGGAAACTCTCCAGAGGCCTTGAAGCTATGTGATGAGCTGAATCCCCCCAGTTCTATTTTTATATACTTTTGCCTCGTGCTTGTATATCTTAGCTGGATTATTTCACTCTTGTTATTCTTTTGTACGTGATTAGGACTATGAATCTTATGTTACACCAAAAAGTATAATAAGTTATGATAACAAGTGCCCTACTTTAATTATGAGATAGAACTCAAGTTAAACGTGATTCCATTCCTCTCTGTACCTATGTTGTTTTCAGACTCGAATTGGGTATCGTCTCGGTCAACCTCAGGAGTTAAGGGTCAATGACTTCGATCAAGGTCGAATCGAATAACATTATAAATAAAAATTATTTAAAGATTAAAATATTATATGTAAAATATCTAAGAGCATGTTAATATCAATAAAGGTATATTCATATATATTTGATGTTTAAATGTATTTAACAAGAAAATACAAAGAAATTAGAACGATCAAGTAACAATTTATATTATTCAATAAACATTGACAAGTTTAGAATTAAAATTATGGACTCAATTGAAAAGTAACAACAAACTTTAGGACAACATTTATAAAGTATGAAATATTTGAGATATATTAATAGTTTTTAACAACTTAAGGGTCAAAACATAATATTAAAAATGCTTTAACCCCACATCATACTTTCCCATATCTTTCTCTACTCCTGACGCATCCCATAGAGCACAATCACCAGAGTTTCATCTTCCTCTTTCTCGTGCCCTACTGCAACTCCTTTCTTCTTCTACTTTTTTTTTTTTAATTTCATTTTCATTCTTATTTTGTTAGTTATTTATTCTCAAACTCATGAAACATCAAGCTTTTATCAGTTTTTTTCAAACTTTTCTCTCCTCCACTCCCTTTTTTGAATTTTTTGCATCTTTTCTTCTATTGAATTCAAGATCTAATATTAGATCTTGTTTAAAAAAAAAGGTTAAATCATTGATTTTTTATGGTTGAATTGAAATGAAAGAGTGAGAATGGATTTGCAAAGGAGGGGAGAGCTCACGAGGATTTGGGGCTAGAGGTAAGGAAGAAAAAAAATTCAACAAAAAGGAAAAATAAGAAAACTCGATTTTTACCGATTCTTTCGATTTCTGGACCGGGTTTGATTGAGTATCTACCAAGTCAAGTTTTTAAGATAACTCTGACTGGACACTTGGCCGATTCCGATTCGACCGGTCCGGTCCAAATTTAAAACATGGCTCTCTACCCTAAATCTCTAAATCCAACCCATAACATTTCACGTATGAAAACTATGAATAAACCAAAAAAGAAAACAAAAGTAAAACCTAACTGAGTTGCTTTCCCATTCTAATGTAAAATTATTTTCTCCAATTTTTTTGAGTTAATTGAAACTATTCTATAGGAAAAAAATTAAGAAGCTTTGAGAAAAATTTAGTCAATTCCATTGAGGAAGGATCATCTACTGTTGTTGTTTAGTCAATAAAATTTGGAACAGAAGATATGTAAAGGGATGTTATACTTTTGGGAGAAACAGAAGTTTTGCCCGTGTTTAGGGAATTTCTCTCTTCCTGTACATTGTGTGCTTAAATCAATAAAAGTTGTGAGCTTAACAAAAAAGTGGGGAAAAAAAAAAAAAAAGAGTATAGACCAAAAAGAGGGGAAAATACTCCCATAATCAACTACTCAGATGGTCCCCATTCACTCAACTAAAGTGACGTTCTCAGATAGACCGCAGTGTATCTCACAAAAAGGCGGGGTCCACTTTTAGGTCCCTCAACCATTGTGAGACCCGGTCTAGACACCGCAGTTTATAATGACCAAAAAAAAGAAAAAGAAAAAGAAAAAGACAAAACTTTACTTCGTGGTCTAATAATTCTTGTTTGACCCCCGTGCAATCTTCCTTTTGGGAGAAATCAGTAATTAAAATTGCATGGCAATGTAATTCCTCCTGTCATCCTCTAGTAGTTTCTTTTCATTTTTTTTTTTTTTTATCAAAGGTCAACAATAGATACATACACCTACATTATAGTAAAGGGGACATATCCAACTGAGAGCACTAACAACTCAAGAAACTGTTGATTAATTTCCTTTCTTTAATTACCGTGTACTAATAAGGATAGCCACAACAAACAAACCCCCAAGATCTACAGTTTATCATCAGCAGAATAGGTACGGACCAATTTAGCAAATTAATTGAAAAAAAAAAAAAAGTGTACTCAGAAGTCAGGTACCTGTATCAAACTTGTGGCGTAAAGCTTTCCTCTGAAGCAGCTCCCAACTTTCGGAGTCGCTTAAAAGGCGCGGTTGGTGGTGAAAGCCATTTGGATCAATATGCAAAGCCACATCTTTATTGCGAGAGGTAACTAGGATCTTGTATCCGTTCTTTCTAATTGGAAATGCTTGCTTTATGCAATCCCATGCATCTGCAGACCACATGTCATCAAGAACCACAAGGCAGTTCTTGTTTTGCAGGATTTGAAAAAGTTGCCTGACTAGCTCCTCATCCCTCCACTCCAGTATCTCTTTTCTCTTTTCTGGGATTAGGCTTAGCAAGATCCTTTGCAAAATGTCCTCCTTTTGCCACTTTTGCGAGACGCATACCCAAGCAAGACCATCAAAGCAACGCCTCACTTTAGGGTGATTGTATACCTTTCGGGCAAGAGTTGTCTTTCCCAACCCCCCCATCCCACAGATGGAGACAACTCTAAAGTGTTGATCGATCTCATGATCATGATCGCTTCCCCTCAACAGATGCTTTACCAGCATCTCAACATCACCCTCCAATCCGACAAAATCGTCCTCGATCACATGGGAATAGGTCCGCCTTAGTTGCTGATTTAATGAACTAGCGTCATCCCGTTGTCTTTCCACCACCGCTCTGATCCCTGAATCCTGAAAACTTTTGGTAAGATCAGAGACTTTGGTTTTCAGCTTTCGAATACCTGCTCCAATGTCGTGCCTAGTATAGCACTCATTCAGGACACAGACACATCTCTTTATGATGCCTTTCCTCCTTCGAGATGCAACTTTGAAAGCGTAGCTTTCAATCAAGTCATCGGCCTCATAAGCTAGATCTCTAGCTTGCGAAATCCACTCCTTAAGCATTTCGCCCTCGTGTTGCATTTCATCTGCGTCTTTTAAGAATGATTGCATCCGCTTCAGAGTTAGTTGAAGTTGCTCCACTTGGTCGCTCACCCCATCTAAGAACCTCGCTTCTTCAATCAACAGGTTGCCAATGGTTTCCACAGCAAAACTCACAGCGGCCTCGGCCATCTTGACAAAACAAAAAGATAACGAGATTTTTCTTTTCTTTCAAGCAAGCATGTAGGCACAAGTACTGTATTTGCTTGAAGAAACTTATGACTCTTTCTATTTATATATTCATCTTCAGAAACTGCATAAAAGAGAAGGATAGAAGGGAGGGAACGAGTGTGTGTTAGGTAATCTGATCAGTCTAAATATCAGTGAATGACTCGGGGTGGACTTGGAGTCAACTGGGACTTGGGTGAGTTGACTCCGAAAAACATTTTTTTTTTTAAAAAAAATATCAGTGAATGAGCCAACCTTTCTTCTTTCTTCTTTTTTCCTGTCACAATTTCCACCTTTTCCGTACTCGTACCTTACACTAACCTACCCAGTGAATGAGTCGACTTGGAGTGCAAAATCTCCAGTTTTTTCCCTAGAAAATTGCAACAAAGATTAGGAAGCAAAAAAATCAACACCTAATTGATATAAAACAACAAAGAAGCAAATTCAATGGCTTGAAACGCACCAAAATCAGAGGAGATGGGCGTTTTCAACAAAATCATCCCACTTCGATCATTCTGGATTTTTTTTTTCTGGTCAAAGTAAATCTGAAGGCTGTAATCTTCAGGAGGTCAATTGCGATTTGAGGAGGTATATCCTGGTTTAATTAAAGAGGGAGGGGGAAGGGAAAGGGAAATGAGAAGGAAGAGAGAGTGAAGGCTATAGGAAGGAACGTCTCGACAAGGATCGTCAAAGAAAATAAGTGTAACTTTTTCAAGTCTAGTGGTTCAATTTTCTACTGCTGTATATTTAACATGGTCCTTATGAAGTGTGTTTTTGATCATTTTTCAGGTTTGTCTTGTCAACGGCAAGGAGACTGGGTTTTCGTTCGTCTTTCTCACCCAACTATATACACGGTTTTGTATCTTTAATGGCGGGGTCCTTTTCACATTATTGTTACACGGTCATATATTTCTTTTGACAACAGGAATTTCTTTTCTTCTTCTCCATGATAAATATTAGATTTATTAATTTATTGACTATAATGTCATTTAAGATGGTTGGTTCTATTTTTTTTTCTCTTTTCTTTTTTTCCTGGCTATCCCTTCAATTAATAAAATGGGCCAATTTGATATTAAGCAGTTTTGTAACAAGCCTGAATATGTAATACAAAAGGCAGAAGGTAGAAAGCTTTTGGCTGCTCCTGATAGCCAAAAATTTCCAGGATCACAATCCCCAGACGTAAATTTATGTTCTTGAATAGATAGATGGAAGATTGGAAGAAAATTCATACCATTTCCCATTCATGCATCCAGCTTTATCTGAATTTCTTTACTGCTAATGAACATGCCAACCATAGAGCACAGAAGTTAATTATCATGATCGTAGTATTGCTTGCACAATTTCAGAATTGTTCTCCAGTCGCTTTCTGCGAGTTTGTGAAGGTGTTGAAATGCATACCATCTTTAATTTCTTGAATTATTAAAACCGATCCAATTATATCTTTAATTTCTTGAATTATTTGAGTTCCGAGAATGTTCATAATCTCCGCTACTTTTCACAAAATCCCTTCAGTAAGGGCTACAATTGTTCTGTATTATATGTATTCTATCTAACCTGTTGCTTTTATGTTTGTTAATGCAGGGCCAGATGCCTTCTATGATAGCAACAAAAAGGATTGGACCCAACCCCATTACCCATATGGTGAAGCATATTGCAGAACAATTCAGATTGGCACAAAGTCTAGAAATGTTGCTGTCAAGATTTGGAATGAGGACTCGGATGACTTACAAGTGATTTTATTTTCTGTGTTTTACAGGAAGAAGCAAGGTTCCTGAAGGATGATGAAACTACTGCTTCTCTTCCCAATTTCGTGAATGTGATCGGTAATAATGCAAAGGGCACTATCTATGATGTCGATCCACTAGATACCTTGCATAACATGACGACAAGCGGTAATTCAGATTTTGCACCAACAATGAGCATTAAGGTTCTGAATTCAAGCAATGGCATATTCAAGAAATGGGTTATTTATTGTGTTTCAGGTGCTGCTTCTGCAAGTGATTCAAGAAATGGTTGTAAATTGTTTGAAGCAACTACAAGTTGTGAAAACTCATTTGCAGTTGTGGAGCAGAACTTCAACTTACTTTCTTATTGCCAATATATATTTGTCCTGTACTTAAAAACACTGCTGGTCTGTTTTCTTTAAAGATGTAATACGATGTTTTTTGGGATTTACTTTCTTTCTTTTCTGCATGTGTTAGATACACGCTTGGTCCATCCACTCTGGAACGATGAGTAGCTGCTAAACTTGATATTTAATCATAATGATAAGCATAATCACTGAATAACAATCTGTTTTTAACGTAAATTGAAAAAAAAAAATCAACAAATTAGGGAAAAGTCATAGTAAAAACTTTCTTTATCCAATCCAATCAAATTAATATGTTAAGTTTCGAACGGCCCTTAGCTTTTTTCTTCCTTCTCCAAATGATAGTCACATACTCTATTGCCTGCAAAACTTGACGTTAGATCGATTGATTCATCTATCATGTTGGGTCGAAGGTGAGCAGAGGGGCTAGCATCCATAGCCACAATTGACGGGGTGGAGGATACAGAGATGAAATTGGTCCGAGCATTCGGCCATATGAACCTATCAAAATCTTTACCAGGTAGTGGATCATATTTGTCTATGTATTGCATGCATTCATATATCTGTGTTTGGGTGTATTTCACAAATTGATATGGATCATCTGCTATGGATCATTGCTGTCCAATAGAGGTAATTGTAAATGAGAACTCTGTCCTTCAATCTTTGTTGGTTTCTTTTAACACCTGATGCTCTGCTCTTCATGTGATGCTTAGTTATTTCGATTGCTATTCATGTGATTCTTTTGCAAAAAATTTCGTTGTAGTAATGTATATCTAGCAATTTGAATGCGTCCAGAGCTACTAATCTTTTTCAGAGGTCTGAAAAATGTACTTTTTCATTTTTGGTAAGGTGTGGTTCTTTCATTGATGTTCAAGAAAGTGTAATAGACAAGTGAATCTATTGGGAAAAGGATCAAAAACAGAAAGGGACACTAATAACTCCAAGCAGAATTCTTCTGAAAGGTTTCTACTAAATTAACATAAGAAAGCATTTTATCAAACTTAAGGGTCCGTTTGTTTCAATGTAAAATTTTTTTCCCAAGGAGAACATTTTCAATGACAAAATTTTCATTTTCCTTTATTTTCAGGTGTTTGGTGCAGTTTTATGAAAATGCACCACAAAACGGAAACCTACAAGAAGAAGATTCCCCAGTAGAATCCCTCCAACTACCGTCATCGCATGTACATTGGATCTACCATCCCAACCAGAGATTCATCCAATCTCCAAATCTGTCAAACTCCAGAAAGGAATTCATAATTTCTCAAACCAATTACACATCATACCAATGAAGATTCAAATTAATAATATGTCAATAAAAATTACTTCTGTAATTAAAACCTTATAATTGATCAACCATCATATGGAAAAGCAGCTCTTGAATTTTGTTTCAAACTTTTCTGCACAAAAAGTCTTCCTCCACTCTATCTCCTTCACTTTTCCAGATTTCTCTCACCCAAAAACTTATCAAGACCCCTCTTGGTATAGATTTTCTACATCTCCATGGATGCATTGTTTATGCTGGCATGGGAGGAAAGGAGTAGGATTGGCAAAGATGAGGATGAGGGAAAAGTGGTAGACAGTGGGGTTTTTCGTAGCAGGCGCAAGGATGGATTTCTATTAATGGTCTCAGTATTGGTATTTCATATTTGTTATGAGTATCTTAATAGGTAAGCCCTGAAATGGCTGATAAGCTTCATGAGTTTGATGGAAATTAACTTCCGTATGTCCGCTCCGTAAGTCATTTTACGTCCTGTAGTGTAAAACATTTTACACTGGAAAATATTTGCCTAACGTCTTCTGCTGCCAAACACCAGAAAATCTGGAAAATATTTTCAATTCAAACAAACTGTTGAAACTTTTACTTATGTTGTTGTTTAACTTGTTTTTCAAATGGAGTCATTCATTTAGTGGCCTAGAGTTTAGGAATCTGCTGTACGTTAGAGTCTTTCAGTTATGACTTAGTCAGCAGAGTTAGTGGCTTAGTGGTCTAGTCTTTAGGAGTGGTGGGGTTGTGGAGAAGGTGCCAGATATGGGACCTGATCTTAAGGGATTTCAGTTGTGTGTTTTGCCTATTTAAAGGCTCCAAAGCTTATGATTAAATACGACTTTTTGGCCACAGACTACTGTTATCTTTGCTATTTCTTATCAGTGGCATCAGAGCTACAAGATTCCTGAGAGTGAAACACCTGAAATTATCTACTCTTCCCCACTACCCTATCCAAATGGCCAATGACTCAAATTTTGTGCAAGCCGCCATCCCTCGCTTTGATGGTCACTATGACCACTGGAGCATGCTCATGGAAAATTTTTTACGGTCCAAAGAATATTGGTCAGTGGTTGAATCTGGAATTCAAGAACCACCAGCAGGTGCAACCGTGACAGATGCTCAGCAAACAGACATTGAAGCTAGAAAGCTCAAAGACTTGAAAGCGAAGAACTATCTCTTCCAGGCTATTGATCGTCCCATCTTGGAGACTATTCTTTGCAAAGATACATCCAAGGATATTTGGGATTCAATGAAGAAAAATATCAAGGCTCTTCTAGAGTGAAGCGTGCACAGCTTCAAGCCTTGAGGAGGGATTTTGAAGTTTTGCAGATGAAGGATGCGGAATCTGTTACAAGCTTTATTGGAAGGACGATGGAAATTGCAAATAAAATGAGATGCTATGGAGATGAGATTAAAGATGTTAACATAGTAGGAAAAATTCTGCGTTCTATGACGCGAGAATTTAACTATGTTGTTTGCTCAATTGAAGAGTCAAACGACATAGATGACCTCTCTCTTGATGAATTGCAGAGCTCCTTGTTAGTCCATGAACAGAAGATGAATCGAAGCTGGACAGCAGAGGAACAAGCTTTGAAAGCTTCTACCAACACTCGCTCCAACAGCTCAAGAGGAAGAGGCAGAGGCCGAGGAAGAGGAAGGGGAGATCGAGATCATGACAAATCTAGAGTAGAGTGCTTTAGATGTCACAAATATGGTCATTATGCTTCTGAATGTGTCACTGAACTGCCAAAGTATAAAGAAAGAGAGGAGAACTCAAATTTTGCAGAAGAAACGAATGAACCAGAAACTTTGTTGATGGCTGCCCATGAAAGGAAAAAGATTGAGTCGAATATTTGGTATGTCGATACAGGCTGCAGCAATCACATGAGTGGAAGTAAGTCTTCTTTTTCGAATCTAAATGAAAGCTTTCACTCTACTGTCAGTTTTGGTGACTTCTCTACTGTGAAAGTGATGGGAAAAGGTGATGTTAAGATACATACTAAGAATGGCCTTGTGAAAACAATTTCTAATGTGTTGTATGTTCCTGATTTGAAAAGTAATTTGTTGAGTGCTGGTCAGTTGCAAGAAAAGGGGTATGTCATTACAATTAAGAAAGGCACTTGTGAAATTTATGATCCTGATAGAAGAAGTTCTATTGCAACTATCCAGATGAGTTCTAACAGATTATTTCCAATAGAAATTGAAAGCATTCAATCTTGTTTGATGGCTGAGGTAAAGGACCCCTCATGGTTGTGGCATTTTCGTTATGGCCACTTAAGTTTTGGTGGACTGAGGGCTCTGCAACAGAAAACCATGGTGACAGGGCTTCCGGAAATTACTGTTCCCTCCCTAGTTTGTGAAGACTGTGTTGTCAGCAAACAACACCGTTCTCAGTTTCCCAAAGGAAAGTCCTGGAGAGCAAAGGATGTGTTAGAGCTGGTGCATTCAGATATTTGTGGCCCAATAAACCCATCGTCTAATGGAGGTAAAAGATACTTAATTACCTTCATTGATGATTTTTCACGGAAAACATGGGTTTATTTTTTACAGGAAAAATCAGAAGCTCTGACTATGTTTACAAGGTTCAAAGCTTTTGTGGAAAATGAAGCAGGCAAGACTATTAAGTCTCTTCGAACAGATCGGGGTGGCGAGTATTGCTCAAAAGAATTTGAAGGTTTTTGCATGCAACATGGCATTCGAAGAGAACTTACAGCTGCATATACACCACAACAAAATGGTGTATCGGAGCGGAAGAACAGAACAATTCTTAATATGGTGAGAACTCTATTAACAAGGGGAAGAGTTCCAAGGACTTTTTGGCCGGAGGCTGTAAACTGGAGTATTCATGTTTTAAACAGAAGTCCAACTTTTGCCGTTCAAAACAAGACTCCTGAAGAGGCTTGGAGTGGAAGAAGACCAGCTGTAGATCACTTTAGAATCTTTGGTTGCCTTGCTTATGCCCACATCCCGGATGCGAAAAGAAAAAAACTTGATGACAAAGCTGAGAAATGCATCTTTCTTGGCGTAAGTGAATCCTCCAAAGCCTATAAATTATTCAACCCACTGACGAAGAAGATTGTGACCAGCAGGGATGTTGTTTTTGAAGAAGAGAGCACCTGGGATTGGGATGGGCAGCAGCCTAAACAAGTCTTTTATGATGATGATGCTAAACAGGAGCAAGTTCCAGCACTTGACATGCCACAAAACTCTTCAGATACAACTCAAACAGCTACTGGAATTTCACAACCAGTTGCTGAAGTAAATGAAGAAGGAGCCCAGTCAGTTGGTCGAGTTAGAAGAAGGCCTGCTTGGATGGAAGATTATGAGGTAACTGGGTTAAGTAATCCAATTACTCAGTTTGCTTTGTTCGCAGATTGTGATCCTACAACTTTTGAGAGTGCCGTCAAAGAAGAAAAATGGCAAAAGGCAATGGACGATGAAATCAATTCAATTGAGAAGAATGACACTTGGGAGTTGTGTGATCTTCCTAAGGGACACAAAACCATTGGTGTCAAATGGGTCTTCAAGACAAAGCTAAACAAAGATGGCGGTGTTGACAAGTACAAAGCACGCCTGGTGGCAAAAGGATACAAGCAGCAGTACGGGGTTGATTATACAGAAGTATTTTCTCCAGTTGCAAGACATGACACGATCAGATTGGTGGTTGCATTAGCAGCGCAAAATTCTTGGCCTATCTTCCAGCTAGATGTCAAATCAGCATTCTTGCATGGGTATTTGGAGGAGCAGGTATTTATTGAGCAACCTCCTGGCTATATTAAAGTTGGGAATGAGAATAAAGTGTTCAGACTGAAAAAGG